ATAACAGAATTGCTGTGAGTAAAACAATTTACATTGGGAGGAGAATCTTTTGTATGTTACGTAACACGCGCTCAATCAATATATGTTCCTACTTGGTTACGACTATATTCAATTTTTTAAATTTTTGATACCTTTCTCAAACGGCAAACAAACTTTAAAAATACGTCTAGTGCTTTATCTGTAAAATTATGCTAAAATGAAGAGATTTTAGATGGTACGCCAAAGAGAAAATGATGTCTGAAGTTCAGTAAATTTTGCTTATATTGCTGTATAAATATATGGCGTCAGTTTTACAGCATCAATAATAATTGTATTTAAACTGACAATATTTAACTATTATTTTGTGTTTCTCAACCGCCAGATACATTTAAAAAGGTTGCTAACTGTGTGAACTACAAAATAGAACTAAAGCAAAGTGATTTTGAGAGGAAAAAGCCAAAACGATTTTAGGTTTTGAACACTTTTAATCGCAATTGCGTGACATTGAAATAAATTGCCTCTTAGTAGCTTCGTTGATTATCTTTCAAATGAGCTACAGCTGAATATATTAGAGAGATTTAAATTTGACTTCCACTATCGCTATACCATTAAGGGACGATTAACCAATCTGATGCGTTTGATATGCACACGTAAAAATCTCCCAAGTTGTCAACAGGATGTGTTCGCAACAGGCTTGTGGCAAGCTTGTCAACAAGTTGTAAGAACGCCATTATTTCATCACGTTGCTACAAGGTTGTCACTCACAACGTGTTGACAAATTGTTGGGACAACTTGTAACAGGTTTGTTGAGCTCAACAACCTTGTAGCGCGTTGTCAACAAGCCTTTGAGAACTTGTCAACAAGCTGCGAACAAGCAGTGCGAACAACATCCTGATGACTAATTGTTGCAACAAGTTGGGAGCAAGCTGTTGACAACTCGTAACAAGCTTGATGGCATTATCAGATGTGTGTAATGGACGTAGAATATCATTCTTCAGTCTGGTTTCCATATGGTCGTAACGGTCGTAAAGATTGAGTCACGATCTTTCTCGTCAGCCTAAATACAACATTTTAGAACTGAAATTACGCGGAGTGATTAGAACTAGAGAATACTTATGATTTATATGTGGTTTACAGGTATAAACTATTATAAACTGGCCGCTGAGAAAGATCGTGACTCTATTTTACAACCATTACGACCATATGGAAACCATAAAATTTTCTAAAAAAAATACAAAAAAACGTCGACCTTCCATAACCTGAGTTCTTGCACCAAGAATATGGAACTGAGGTATTTTCCCCCCAAACCACTGTATTCAGCAACTTTGAATTAAAAAATCTGTTTTATTCCAGATGGCGGCTCATCAGCTTCACAGAGAGACGGTGAGATGGGAGGAACAAGGCAATGAACTGGTCGCTGCGGCCAAGAAACTCGCTGTATTGTTTGCGAAAATTGCCAGATTTATGAGGTGTGTTTGGTTTTGTTTGTATTGAGATAATGCCATTCGGTCCTCGCCAGTTAGGAAATATATTTCTAGATGGGAACAACAACACTTAAACATTTTCACCCGTAAGGCTTCGTTTCCATTTCAAATGGACTCTTATCTTATGTACACACGCGAAAATCTCACATTTTGTAGCAAGTCTGCCAACAAGCCGTCAACAAGTTGTGAAAGTTGTCCCAAGTGGTCAACAAGTTTGGAATAAGCTGTTAACAACTTGTAACAACCTAGTTGATATTATCAGACTTGTTGCAAGGTTGTTCCAACAAATCCGATACAGTCATGACATAACAATATTGTTACAACCTTGTGTCGTCAACCTTGTAAGTTAAACATTCTTGTTATATCATGACTGTATATATCAGACTTGTTAGAACAACCTTGGAACAAGTCTGATAATGCCATCAAGCTTGTTACTACAAGTTGTCAACAGCTTATTCCAAACTTGTTACAACAACTGGGAACAAGCAGTGCGAACACAACTTGTCGACAGCTTGTGAAAATATTTGTAACAATTTGTTTGCAAAGTACACACATAAAAACGCACAAGTTGTAACAAGTCTGCAAACAAGTTGTTACAAATCTGTTCACAAGCTGTGAACAAGTTGTCTTCGCACTACAGTACTTGTTCCCAGTTTGTTGCAACAAGTTTGAAACAAGCTGTTAGCAACTTGTAACAAGCTTGATGGCATTATCAGCCTTGTTACAAGACTGTGCTAACAAGTTTGTTACAGCCATGATATAACAAGAATGTTACAAGGTTGATGACACAAGGTTGTAACAATATTGTTATATCATGACTTTATCAGACTTGTTAGAACAAACATGTAACGGACTTGTCAGAACAACCTTGCAACAAGTCTGATAATTTCGACAAGGTTGTTACAAGTTGTCAAAAAGTTGTTCCAAACCTGTTGACAACTTGTGACAAGCAGTGCGAATACATCTTGTTGACGGCTTGTTGGCAGACTTGTTACAACCAGGTGATCTCGTGTTCGTATTTTAGCCAATCAGCGCTCAGAAAGGGTTGTCCGAATAGAAATCCATTTTGATGTATTCAGTCAATTATATCTTTCGTTATTCTTAATGAAACTAGTTGAAATTTTGTAATTATGTTTGATTATAAGAACTATAGCTCTGACAAAAATATGGAATCGAAATAAAGTATATTACAGGAGATATTCAGTTGTTTTAATCATAAAATGGATTTCTATTTGACAACTAGTGCCAGTGCTTTTCCACATATCAAGATCATCTGGAACTCATGAGCATGTAAATATATACTATATACAGGAGTGTTAATTTACTATCCGCCTCGATTAGCTAAGCTATTAGCGGATAGTATTGTATGTTGTAACATCTTTTGAATTAATTAAATTAAAGTATCAGTATAAGTCCGTAGAGTTTATCAGTGCCAAGTCTGACGAGCTTGTCTTATTTAAAACTAATACGATCACTGAATTGAAACAGATTAAATCCGAAGTCAATGTAATATCATTAAAATGTGAAAAGATTGCCAATTCTATCGAACAGCGTGAGGAATACAGCTATCAATATAATGTGAAGACTATTGGCGTCCCACAAGAGCAACAAACAGAGACGGCAGAGCAAACCTCAAATCTATGCCTCGAAATATTTCGTAAAATCGGTGCTGAAGTCCTTTTACAAGATATAGACATTGCCCATCGAGTGCCATCGCGAAATCCCGACAACAACAACAACAATACGATTATTTGTAAATTCGTCAGACGCCTAGCACGAGAGAACGTAATGGCCGCAAGAAAGAATGCAAATGATCTGCAACCAAGCATTAGAATCTACGATCACCTCACCCCTCTGCTGCAAGAGCTTTTATATGAAGCAAAGAGATATCAGAGAATGAAAGTTTTATCAAGCTAAAGAATCTGCAGGATCTTAATGCACTATTTTGATATTCATAGCCTTACAAGCTAAGTAATCTTAGTCTTTTGTTTGTTTTCTTAAATGGCTTTTGATAGTACAGTTATTGACCTTCCGTTTAATCACTTAGATGATAGATCTTTTCATGCTGCATTATATGAAATGTCATGCGGCAGCATAAATTTCGATTTTGATCACTTAGAAACCTTAGTTTTCAATCCTATCGAACATTTAGCCACAGTTCAAAGTGTTCCCATAAATTCGAGTCTTGAACCCAATTAAAATTTTTATGCATGTTCTCAATCGAATAGTAATTACATGGTTGAGGATGAAATCAATGGCTTAACCAGCAATAAACAGTTTGATCAGAGTTTTTCCCTATTGCGATAACTTCCAAACGTTAATAGCATCATTAAATAAGCTGTTTTCTGCCATTGGAGTTTCTGAAACTTGGTTAAACAATAAAACTTGTGATCTTGTAAATATTCCTACAAGATTGGTTACAATATAAACTGCTCAAAAATTGCACCATTTCCAATCCTGAGGCAATTGAATCTCTGTTTATTGAAGTTTCTAATCCTCTTGGGAAAAATATTATTGTAGGCACAGTTTACCGGCCTCCTAATCAAAACCTTTCGGTTTTCATGGATGAATTCAATAATATACTATCAATTATTTCTAAAGACAATAAGCATTGTTATCTAATGGGGGACTTTAATTTGGACTTGCTTAACTGTGAACATCATACAACTACACAAGAGTTTCTGGATGCTTTGTTCTCCCGTATGATCATTCCACTCATTGCAAGACCAACTCGTGTGACTGCTCACTCTGCAACACTTATTGACAATATTTTCACAAATTGTTTCTCCCGTAATATTCTAAGTGGAAATATTCTTAATGACCTTCCTGACCATTTTCCAATTTCGCTTTTTTCAATAATGAATACATTCCTCAGAAAACTGAGTTGAAATCAGTTACGTGTGATTTCAGCGAAGGAAACCTTTCAAATTTTCAATCTTGTCTTGCCCAGGTTGACTGGACAGATGTTGTGAATGGTCAGGATCCTAGCACTGTTTTTGATGCTTTTGTAACTGAGTATAATAGTCATTTCGAAAATTGCTTCCCCGTAAAAGTAATCAAAATAAACATGTCCAAAAAACCAAGAACTTCTTGGATTAGTAAAGGGTTACTGGCTTCAGTTAGGAAAAAGAATAGATTGTACAAAAAAATTGTGAAACATCCAACTCCTATGTTAGAGACACAATACAAAGCATATAAAAACAAATAGATTCATTTAACTAGAATTGCAAAGCGAACATACTACGATGATAAATTCGAACAATCAAAAAATGACCTGAAAACTACTTGGAAACTAATTAATGAAATTATTAATAAAAAGAACAACAAGCGGCCTTTGCCGTCTTCTTTCAACTCAAATGGGAGAACCATCACTGATCCAGTTAAAATTAGGGGTGCACCGGATTTGGAATTTTCAAATCCGGCCGGAACCGGATTTACCGGATTAGGACAAAAATTCCGGCCGGATTTGAGATAAACCGGGTAACAGGGACAATTGGGGATAAATCAGTGTTCAAAATGGCGGTTTATGTTTTTTACTATTTTTAGTTAGTGTCAGTTTAGATTTTTGAGTTTTGTTTAAACCTTTTTTAAATATCTTTTTGTTAATAACTTAATATTTTATAATAATGCAAGTGTTTTTCAAACTTTAAAGCTGCCAAATTGATGGTTTATCCCATTCTTGGTGAATTTTTTAAGGTGAAAACAGAAATTTGAATCCGGCTGGATTTTCTCCAAATCCGGCCGGAAGCCGGATGCCGGAAAATTCGTTAAATCTGACCAGAATTCTGGCCGGATTTCAAATCCGGTGCACCTCTAGTTAAAATTGCCAATGAATTTTGTCATTACTTTACAAGTATTGGTCCAACTTTAGCAAGTAAGATACAAACAACTAACTCCGCTTTTCAAAACTTTGTTGGTCCTGCTAATGATCAAACTATATATCTTAGACCAACTTCAATCTCAGAACTAATGGAAATTTGTGGCTCTTTCTGCTCTAAAAAAGCACCTGGCTACGATAATATTCCTATGCGCCTTATCAAGAACTCTGTTGAATTTATCATTGTACCATTAATGAACATCATTAATTTATCTCTTGAAACGGGAGTTTTCCCCGAGAAATTAAAAATGGCCAAATTAATTCCTATTTTCAAGGCTGATGACCCAGAATCTTATAAAAATTATAAACCGATATCTATCTTATCAAATTTTTTCGAAAGAGTAATGCATATTCGTTTATCTGAATTTGTTCAGAAATACGAAATTATGTATTGTTATCAATTTGGTTTTCTTAAAAACCTTTCAACAGATCTAGTGCTTACTCACCTGGTCAATAAAATTACCTCATCTATTGATGAGGGCGGAGTCACTGCCGGTGTTTTCTTAGACTTGTCTAAAGCGTTCAATACTATCAATCATCAAATACTGTATTATAAATTGGAATGTTATGGCATTCGTGGAGTTGCATTGCAATGGATTAAAAGCTATCTTGAAAATCGAAAGCAATTTGTTCAATATACTGTGGTGTACCACAAGGCTCCATATTAGGACCATTGTTTTTTATCCTTTATACCAATAACCTCCCGAATGCTTTAAACATAACTGAATCATTATTATTCGCATACGACACCAGTATATACTATTCTCACACTGACCCTATTTCACTGATCAATGTTTTGAATGACGAATTAAGAAATGTTGACCGTTGGATGAAAGCAAATAAACTCTCAGTAAACATAACTAAAACTAACTATATCATTTTCTAATCAAGGAATAAAAAGTTTTGTACTGATATACCTGTTATTTTTTACAGAAAACCATTAATGCAAAAGAAAACTGTTAGGTTTCTTGGAGTTCATGTTGACGAAAACCTTACAAGGAAATCACACATTAGTCATGTATGTAAAAAGATCTCCAAGTCAATTGGAATATTATTATTTAGATGTCGTTTTTATCTGTCTAAAAAATCTAAAATATCCTTATATTATACTTTGATCTATCCCTATTTGACCTATTGCAACACTACCTGGTCTTCCACCTACAAAACTAATTTAAAAGGAATATTTCTCTTGCAAAAGCGAATTGTCCGAATTTTGACTAACTCTGAATTTTGTGCACATACTGCGCCGCTGTTTAATGAACTCAAACTTCTCGACATTTACAATTTAAATGAGTTTTATACCGCAAAATTCATGTTCTCATACCACAACCATTTACTTCCACCATCATTCCAAAACTTATTTGTTACTTCTTACTAAATACATAACTATAATACCAGAAATGCAAGTTCATACAGTTCCTATGCATGTAACACTAATGTTAAACAGTTTACCATTCTTTTTCAAGGTCCTAAAATTTGGAATTCTCTACCTGACGACATAAAAAATACAGAATCTTTCAATTGCTTTAGGATTGGAATGTTTAATCACTTATTGCAGTCCTAATAATTTTATTACCAGCTTTTCAATCTTTACTTCTCATTTTTACTACGGTTTATTCTATTTATGCTGTTCGTTCAATAATCTATATAAAGAGGAGTCATCCCTTGTGCAAGCCCTTAGGCTTCTGGATGCCTCCTCGTCACTTCGAATATTTATTTACTTCCATTGTATCAAGTAATGTTTGTGTTGTTTTTTTTTGTTTTTTTGTATTACCCAATGTCTGTACATTATTTAATTATTGATTTATTTTGTGGCAAATAAAGAGATTTAGATTTAGATTTAAATTAATTTCATTTCAGCAGATGATCTTGTGACTCTTACAGGAGCAATACGTTCAGGTAAGGAATTTTGAAATATCGATACAATGCCAGTAATAGCTTTGAAGAAAAACATTAAGTCTAAATATTCATGCCAATATGAGAGGGGAAGAAGTTCTTTTGAAATGAGTCTGAACGCGTTGAACACGTTCCACTTGGTTGATGAGCTCCACCGACTGCGGCGACCACACTTGAGTGGCATAGCCCAGCGCTGGTCTTACAACTGCCAAATACAATGCACAGCGAATCCTTTTATCCGTGATTTCAGTTGCAGATCTACGTACGAACCCGGACATCCTATTGGCTGCGGCACATCAGTCTAGGGTGTGTTTGGACCATGTCAGATTCTAGTAACCCAAATGCCAAGATCCTTCTCCTCTGTTGTTACTGCAAGGGTTTTGTTTTTGAGGGTGTAGGGGAATTCGGTGGTAGTCTTTTTCCTGGTAATTCTCTGACACTTGCATTTATTTTGATTAAATACAAGTCCAGAAGAAGTCGACCACTCAAGATTATCAAGATCACTTTGAATCGAGGCACCGTCTGTGTGAGAATCGACACACTTGAATAATTTTGTGTCGTCAGCAAAGGAAGCTACTTTTGCATTATTCACCACATCTGGTAGGTCGTTAACATAAAGGAGAAAGAGTATTGGACCCAGGATAGAACCTTGAGGGACACCAGACATAACAGGTTTTTCAGATGATGTAGCCCCTAGAACAGTCACGCGTTGCCTTCTGTTCAACAACTAGGAGGACAACCAACCGAGTAAACTACCAGAGATGCCAAAGCAGTTGTAAAGTTTATGAATAAGAATTTGGTGGTTAACTTTATCAAAGGCTTTGGACATATCCATGTAGATCACGTCAGTTTGTTTCCCAGCAACCAGTAAAGATCCTATATAGTCGTGCACTTCCACCAGCTGGGAAGTACAAGATTTTCCTGGAATAAAACCATGTTGGGAGTTGTTGATCAAGACTACCAAGTGATCTCGGATGTTACGAAGAATACAGTGCTCGAGAACTTTCGAAATTATAGAGGAGAGAAATGGGGTGGTAGTTTTCAACTGGATCTTTTTCTGCTTTCTTGTATACAGGTACAATGTTTGCTAGCTTCCAATCATCAGGTACAACTCCATAACTAACAGATTTATTAAATAGCTTAGTGAAGGTGCAATCTGGTGGGCAGTTTCTTTCAAGAGTTTAGGCGAGATGTTATCAGGTCCAGTCGCTTTGCTGGTATCGAGCGCTAGAAGAGTTGGATGTCTGATAATAGTGAATCTGTAATGTAAATTGGATGTCTGATAATAGTGAATCTGTAGCTGGTGGTTGGGAAGAAGGCAAAGATGCATCAGAATCACTGTTCGTGAAAACAGATGAGAAATAGCTCGTAATTCTCTGAACTTGGTCTTTAAGGAAACAGTCGGAGATGTTTTAAGCTTTCGTCGCACAGCTCCTTTTGCCGTAAAGGCATGGATGACTGACTTTGCCATTTAACCAAGAAAGGGAGTTTCTTCCCTTGATCTTTTGAGAAGGGACAAAATCGTTAACTGTTGTGAGAAAAGTGTCTTTCCACAGCAGCCAATCTTCATTTATGTCAGAATCTTGTTGTATTATAGTGGAGAGATCTGTCACTTGTAAAGCAGAATGAAGGCCTTCGAAGTCACCCCTCCGGAAATCCAAAACTGATCGGTTTAGCCTAGGACCCGCTCTAATAGATGTCTTTAGATCAAAAATAATAACTGAGTGATCAGTAAACAAGCTGCTATTTTCTGGATTGAGCAAAATGATGTTATTTATCTGGTTCGGTACACTGGAGATAACTAAATCAAGTATATTGACACCTCTTGTAGCTAGAGTGTTAAGTTGGATTAAGTAGAAATTGTTCAGTTGCTCTGTGAATGAGATTTCGTCAGCACCAAACGTTTTAGCAGGAGATTGCCAGTTTACTTTAGGGAAGTTGAAATCACCACAAATTATAATGTTATCATGACGAGACAACAGATCAGCCAGAATCGAGTTAAATTTATCTAACCAGATCTTTTCAGCATTAGGTGGTCTATAGCAACAGCAGATCAACAGTTTTAGTTTTGAGTGGGTGATTATTTCTACGGAGGTCACTTCGAGATCAGATGGATTAACTAGTTCTCGAGATGAATTAAATGAATTAATTGCTAGTAGAACACCTTTAATTGCTAGTAGAACACCGCCACCGTTGCGTGTTTTACGGTCTTTCCTATAGATTGAATAACCAGTTGGCAGAATTTCAGCATTATGAATGTCTTTAGTAAGCCACGTTTCTGTGACCCACACCAGATCGGCTGACTCGGAATAAACAAGCTCTTGGAAACGAGATAGATTACATACTTGTTTGTCATCTGTTATGTGCAAACTTTTTAGACTACGGGCATTAATAACAAGGCATGTTGCAGGATAACCTTTTAAACTTTGCATCTGTGGTTGTTGATGTTGACTATTAGGACCCGGGTTTAAGGAGATATCCCCAGAAAGGAGAATACAAATTAACGCATGTGAAGTTCTACGGTTGACTTGAAAGGTTAGGCCATAGACATAGCGGTGGTTCGGTGGACAACTAATGTTCCTTAATTTACTATCACTGGCAAAACACCAAAGAGAGCAAATTCTGTCAGGTATAGTGGCAAGTTCAGAGCTAACAGTCACAATGGAGGAACCACTTTTAATTTCTTAGATGGCACAGAGCTACATGTAGTTGCACTTGAACATTTTATTTTATGTTAGCTGGAATAAAAAACTAGAGGAGCAAAATGGTTAGGCTGAAAACTTTGACCAGGTTTAACTATACCTTCATGACAAAATAAAATATGAAGAGCATCAGAAGATATTTTGGAAGGATTGCTTGGATGAATTAAAGAGTTAAACATTAATTTAGGACGTATCTCTGCAGAATCTGGGTAGTAAGTTCGAATACATCTCCCTATAACAGAAGAAAGACCAAAAATACAGACAAATGATGCCCACTTCTTATCGTGGCAGTTTAAATAAGCTTCCTTTTTCACAAGAGCATCAATCGTCAAACCTGAATCCAAACACTCCTGCGACACAGAAAGAAGCAGAAGATTCTTCAAGCTGTTACTGAATTCACTATGCTTTTCAACAATAGATAAAAATAAAGGGTGTTGGGAATAAAAGTTAGCATTCATAAACAGTTCAATTGAAGTAAGTTTCCTTAAAATAGGTACCAAACTGTTGTCACCTACCAGAACCAATGAGACAGAACTGTAGAGGCAATTGCCTGAAGCTTCTGACCTAAAAATGTGCACCACCATTTTAGATTTACTTTTTAATAGTTAAGAGAAGGTGATATTATGTTACTAAATGCAATGGGCTTTCACTCAATCTTAAATTAAGCACATAAAATCCTTCACAAAAGACACAAATTGAAGTGAATGATACTAATAACTCGTGATCCAATATAAATCGCTGCATGTGAAACAAAATTCTCAAGCAAAATAGAGTTATATTTCAATTATGTTTTGACCTTTGTTTAATAAATGCATTACTCAATGCACAATTTATACTATAAATAGACTTGTAATGATATTCATCGCAAATTTTTCATACAATGCAAATTAGCAAAATAGCATTTTTAACACTCCAAGGCAAATAGCAATTGCATTACTCTGATTTATATAAATTATGAATACAGACAAACAGTAGGAAAGCCTGAAAGATCAACCCTTACAAAACCAAATTATATGGGACATATATGGACCAACTATGGGATTGATATGGTTCAACCTATGGGCCATATATGGAAGTTATATGGCTTTGGTATGGCCTGGTTGCCTTCATAGCATACCCATATCATGTTTTTGATATGGGTTTGATACGTATTTGGTACAAATCCATACATATCCCATATCACTTACTATGGGAAATACAAGGGTTCCTTATACCATTTCATGACAACTTTGCTATGGGAATGATAGGATTCTATATGGAAATGATCTGGGAACATGATATGGAATTCATATGGTTCTTGATGTATATAAACTATGGGATTGGTATGGGTGCAACAATTATCATATTATACTGGGAATGGTATGGGCACTTGTTTTTCATCCCATACCAAACCCATGTTAACATCTAACATCCAAATGCTAGATGTTAACACATTGTGGGTTTGGTACGGGATGAAAACAAGTGGCCACCATTCCCAATATACTTGCTACAGCTCAAGAAAGTTGTACTGGCTGGCATACATAGTTTTACTAACATGCAAAAAATCTTCAAAAACACAATACACAAATAAATAACATAGTTAATAAATAAACAAATTACAAAATTGTTAACTAATTTACTATTTCTTAATGAACTTGCAAAGTTTGTCTAACTAAATTACCATGGTATAACTATATATACAAACATGGGATGTCAAGTACTAAGTGCTTATTGATCTATATAAATGCATCGATATCTATAATGTCCTCAGTCCTCTCAACTTGTGGACCTGACTACAGACTATTCAAACTCTTTGCATATGCCTGGCCTCCACGTCACTTTTCATGTTTATTTTTTGTATCACCTGACTTGGTGTAGGGCCTTCTTTAGAAAATCTTGCAGAGCAATATGCCCACTGGTGTCAATAGCAGAACATGCCAGATCCTTCTACAACCTCTATCATCTGCAGGACAAAATAATTCAAACGTCAAGATTTTGCCAGATCTGACAAAAATGATTGTACTGACAGAAAATTTATACCCTATATTCTGCAGCCAAATTTTCACCAAGCATTTTTGCATCAAATTTAATTTTTACTCTGTCTAACGGAAGACAAATTTACTCTGTCAAATGCCAAATCGTTATGTTTTATTATATGTCTAATTACAGACAATTTTATTTGTTAAGTGGAGAGTCTGGCACATTAATGGAATAAATATTTAATAAAATAACAAAGTACTAAAAGTAGGGCACATTGCTTTTAAATATTCCAACACAACAGCTTTTGCAGTTAATTATTAAGAATTAATAACCTTTCAATAACCAACACTTCTTATCTTGATGAGTAAAATCATCTGATAATTAACTATCAAAGTACTGAAAGTGGGGAGTGTTAGGATAAATTGCATCTAAATGTGTTAACAACAAACAATGCAAAATAGTCTGGTGTTAGACAGGCCAAAATATTGAGCTTTGAAAAAGAGCAGATTAGTGTGAATTGGGTCTTAATGAGTTTACACATAACACATAGGGACAGCAAGAAAACCTATCAAAGTTGTCCACTCTCTTTCACAAGTAAAATATTTGATCTGGTGTTAGACAAGGTAAAATAAAAAAGTACTGAAGGTTGAGCATATTCATCTTTATAATGTCTTGTTAACTTGAATATACCATCCACATAGTTAAATGTTAATTTCATAGAAAAACATGGAGAATTTTCCTGGCACACCTCTCCCAATGAAATATCAAATTTTAATTTGAACAATAACATATGAATAAATATTAGAATCTTAGAAAGGTTGCTGCTGATTTGAGCAAGTAGATAAATTTTCAAACTACATGTAATATGAGCATATAGTATATATGTAATAGGCATGCTTAATGTCTGCAATTAATCTTGCATATACAGTTGGCATATACAAAGATATTAACCAATAAACATGGATAAGTCTAATTCAAATATAAAACTCTTATAGTAGCATTTATTGAAGTATAAATGCCAGCTATAAATATATTTATATCAGCGTTCTAATCATTATTGTCGCGGCAAATTCAAATTTTAAACCGATCGAAACACATGCTCGAATTTCACGAATGAAGATTGGACAAGGTATTCCTATATGATTTGCTTTATTATAAACAAAATATAAACATATTCTTACCTGAACATTAAACAAACATTGCTGATGTATTACTAGTGAAAATCCAGTTGAATCTCATAAAAATAGTTCTATTTTGATCATAAAGCATTCACAAACGAAAAAATAAAAAATATCGGAGGTGTGATGACCTATCCCAAGATGCTTTGTGCGAGTGGCAAAAAACTAGACACCAGTCTTTCGGTCGCGCACATTGCGGTAATTATTCATTTAATTAAGTTAGAAAATAAATTTATGAACCTTATTTATTTTCCAATCCTATAGAAATTCCTATTGGAATTTTTATTTCCTATATGTATATATATAGGAATTTCTTTTTCCTAAAGGAATTTTTTTTCACCATTTTCAAATCTTACATGAATTCCTATAGGAACTTTCAAATCCTATAGGAATTTCATTTCCTATAGGAATTCCTATAGAAAATTTACGTAAGGGTTGGCATAGCATTGCCATAGAAATCATATGTATGGATTCTCTATGGGAGGCCAGAACCACACCAAGTTCAGACTACCATATAATTCCCATAGATATGGGAACTATATGGGACAACAAACTGTGCACTACCATATAATTTCCATAGATATGAGAAGCATGGGACAACCAAGTGTGGACTACCATATAATTCCCATAGATATGGAAAGTATATGGCAACCAAGTGTAGACTACCACATAATTCCCATAGATACGGAAAGTATATGGGACAACCAAGTGTGGACTACCATATAATTCCCATAGAATTGGTCATATGTAAAAATGTGCCATTGATATGGATTACCTATGGACCAAGTAACCCCACAGATTTTCCATAGGATTAATAACAATGTGTTTGTTTCCATAGCTTTTCCATATCTCGATACTTAACAAATTTAGACACCATACCAATCCCATATGATATCTATACTGTCCCATATCATTCCCACATATGGGTCATATATGGCCCAAACTTTGCCATATCTTTCCCATACTTTTGCTTTGGTAAGGGA